GATATCCTTACCTAGAGAGTGGTTTCTAACCAATCTGATCTAACATTACTGGGTAATGTAATTAAAAGACTTAAGTGAGATCAATTTATTGAATCACAGGAAGCAACCAACCATGCAAGGCTTCTACTCACTCCAAGTCCTCTTTCAAAGTGCTGAGTAGTACTGTAAACTGAAAACCTGCTTAGTCCATTAGCTTATGACCTGAATGGGTCTGTCTTCATCCATATGGCTGTGGAAATCTGAAACCGGTAAGCAATGAAACAACCACAGAAAAGAGACCACCACAAACCCATATATCAAAGCCAATTTTCCTCCTTGTTACCCCAATGAGAACTGGTTCCTTTTGATTTTAGAGTAGAAACTGTGTGATTGAGTAAGTACAATGTGCCCCATAGGTATTTAGACATTAGCACATGCCGTTTTTGTTTTTTTAATTTGTAGTGAAACCAACTTTCAGCTTTAAGGGTTTATAAGATTTTTGGGTAAACAACATAGGACGTGTAGCCCTTGTTATACACTTCCCTCCAACTTTTGAACAGTACAGGAGAAAAAAAAAGAGGGACTAAATGTTCACAGCGGACAGTCCTTCATTCTGAAAGTCATAACTTCATTTCAAATCCAATGAGCTGAAACAGAGCAAAAACAACAAAAGATGTATCCCTGTCCGAATACTAACTCAAGTAATAATAACAAACCACAAATCAATCCAGGTCCGCTACATACCCCTCATCTTTTTGCCTGCCTCTGGCCTATTGATGAAATTATGGGAATTTTAGTCCATCTTTCTTAATCAAACAAGTCTCTCACACTTGCTCTCTTTCTTACTGGTCTTGCAGTTTGTAGTTTTGCCTACATCTGACTGTTACTAATCTGAGTCAGACACTTTGTTGTTCTTATTTACAATTATTGCAGCCAAAAATAAAAGTGTCATCACTGAAGTCTACCACCTGTAACTCAGAGTAGGAGATTACAGATAAGTGCATGAAAGAACTGAGCCAATTGAAGGAGCAAACAATCAAACGGGTTTGAACCAAATAAAAAAGTGTGGTCTACTGATGATTTATCATGTCACCCAACCCCAAACCTCTTGGGATAAAGTACTGACAGCCCAGCTTGTGGCATTTGTCTAAAATCTGCACAGTAATTGTCCACTTAAACATACAGGTCCATCTCATCACCAGCTCACTGAGTGACTCTTAATGGCTGGTTAAGTCCCTCAAAGGCCATCATGGGAGTGGACATACACACAGCAAGGACAGCAGGGAACTATGGGGGATTTTAACATGTAGGTGGTCTCTGTGAGGCAGAGGCTGCAGACACAAGTGGGTGAACAATAGTATGAGCAGAAGGTCAACAGAGCGATGCAGGGACAGAGAAGATTAACGAAACACAGTAGAGGAACAAGACTTACATTGTCCTCCTAAAGCTAAAACAACTTACACACACAGTGTGTGTTAAATGCCCGCAAAAACAAATAAATAATATATTTCTTGCCCTGCATTTTCATCATTATTTAATACACCTCCTTAAATAACCACACATTTATCATTGTATCTGCTTATGTCCATGTATTGAACAAGGCTGACTCAACTTTAAGACAAACCACACCACTGATTAAATTCAGTACATTTTCACTCTGTTCTGAAATCTGGTGATGGGAAGTAAAACTTCTTTAAAAAAAAAAAAAAAAAAGGACTAAAAATTTAACTGAGAGTAAACAGGAAATTGTGCAGATAGACTAGGTTTTTACAGAGTTTAGTTTATAGTATATATTCTTTCAGTCAGAACACAGGTCATGTCACTCAGATTTCTCCAGTTAATGTCTTTAACCCTTCCTGTCATCTCATCATCCACTGACTCTGCTGGTCACTACTTAACTACAGCAGCCACTGACCCAACCACTGACTCAGACAGATAATTCTGCTAGCCACTGAGGCGGCCTAGTGCAGCTTTTGTAGGCTTACAACGTCAAAGTCTTCACAATAGGCTGATTGTTTAAATAAGATGACCAAGGAGTGATTAACAGGATGTTTAGAGTCAAAGCAAACCAGATCTAACAAAGCAATTAACCAATCAGTGACACTCTTCACTTGACTTAAAATGTATGGATTCTGACATAGAAACAGCAGATGTAGAACTGTATTTAAATATATAAAAACCACAACCTTCAGAAGTGTTTAGTCATATTCAAGCACAATGAAGCTACAGAGTAAATCATTAGATCCAGCTAGGTATTAACTCCCAGTTTCTTCACTTCATACTTTGTTATTGGAATAATACCAAATTACGTGATAAGTAAGCAAATTTGCAAAGCCACAGTCCCTGGATTTGGGTCACAGTAATAAGTCTGACTTGTGGGAAATCTTTGTCTCTGTCAGCGCAACTGCTTGGCCATGATAGCATTCCTGAACTCAATGTACTGTCGCAACAGCATGCTGGGTCACGCTCAATTCCTGGTTGTGATAAACACAGTAGAGACACTATTGCAGCAATGTAGTGAATCATATTCTCTCTGAATTGTTTAATTTTGCTAAACTCAGTGGTTTCACAACAGGCACATAATATTATAAGTGAATAAGTGATACTGTACGACAGCAGACTTAAAAAGAAAGAAAAAGTAAACATTTCAAGTTAAGCCAAAGAACTGCACAATTGTACCAGCAACCTGACATTTGGTTTTGTCTGCCATGTTTGTTTGACAGTTTAGGATCTGAGGTCATGGTTAGACCTAGTATATTGTATCAAAATGTATTCAGATTTAGTCATAGAGTGTTTAGATCCAGTTGAAAATGAGAAATCATGTGCACTGCTAAGTAGAAAACAAATACAAATTTGCTCTCATCCATACAGATGGATTATAGATTAGGATTACATCCACTATTTGGCATCTAGGCTCTGATATGGGCTGCAAACCCTTGTCCAAGTTGTTTGACACAGGCAACTCAACCATGTAGCGTGCAATACGTGCATACTGCAAACCTGACTGAGTGGACAAAAGATGGTCCAGGATGCGTTTGTACAAATGTAGCATGAGCACTAGGGATGTCACGAGAACAGATACTTCGGTACCAAGTCGATACCAAAATGAAACACCGCCGAGGGTGGGGCTGAGCTCCTGGACAGAAGCGAGACGGAGAGCGGTGGAGTGGAGAGCCAATCACCTGTATTATTAAAGGGACATTGTGTAGTATTAGCTAAAATCAATGTCTTCATTCATAAATGTGTCCTCATTGGTGTAAAATTACCTCTGCCAATGATCTGACTTATCGCCGTAAGCAAAGAATTTCTTATCTGTATATACATTGGACGGGCAAGTCCATGGAGGCTTCCATGTCGTTCTGCCATTTTGAAAAACTATAATCGCCGAGAGGGACATAAAGCACTAGCCTACCTGTCTAGCTAATCCACAACGCATTTTCGTTCAGAGCCAGTGTCACGTGACGGAAACCAGCTATAACGGAGAAGGAGATCAGTGAGAGGTGCTTGTCACTGCCCCGGCACATTTGAAAGTCTGCACTGCACTTTAGTTAATAATGGAGGATCATACTTATGCCGAGCCACAGGAGAAGGAATCCTCGTCGCCGAAAAATCGAAAAAGGGAATTAAAAAGGCAACGTGACCGGCAAATTCAAAAAACTAGGGTAAACATCGGGGTAGCTTTTCGCAGGTGGAAAGAGCTAATGAAGGAGAAAGACTTTCAAAGGGACGCTGAAGTTGCCTGATTTCTCCTCGACAGGTAGGCTTCTTGGTACATAACGGCTACCGTAGTTGCAATACGCATTTGAAAACGCGAGGCACTAGAGAGCACTATTGATTTGATTGCAAAATACAATTTCACCGCTAGATGGGAGAAATTCCTACACAATGTCCCTTTAAGGAAAATACAAGTACTGGGTCGGGACTTGGTATCAGCAGATACTCAATATATTCAATGGGGATCAGGGGCAAAAAAGAAACTTGATTGGGACATTTTTACCTTGTTACTTGAGAATGGTGGAATTTCACTAGTATTGGTTTCGACTACTAAATTTCTGATATCATGACATCCCTAATGAGCACAATATTTTCCTGACTAATCATATAGAAATGCATTCTTCCCAACAGCAGTCTTTCCACTTGTGATCAGATCACCAAATCCACATTGAGGTTCTGCATGCGAGAAGTGAGGGGCTCACTTTCTGATATCCTGTCAGCTTATCAAAGAGCCCAATTCATCTTTACTTCAACTACTTCTCTACCACACTTCCTCCTCCACTTTCTCTTTAGCCTTAGATTCATAAGAGGTCATTTCCTTTTGGTCAAAGTAATGATTAACTGTGGTGAGAATGTAAACTGACACATTTCAGGGCCTGATGAGTAGATACTGCGCTAAGCAGTAAACTGACACATTTCAGGGCCTGATGAGTAGATACTGCGCTAAGCAGTAAACACAGACTGAACATGAGATAAGACTTCACTGCATGTGACTGAGTGTGTTTCTATCACCCTCACATCTAAAGCTTCCTAGTCTGAGTGAGAGGTAGATCAGTGGCTTCGTGTGTTTCACATTCCTGTATACTTATTGGACCCTCTCTGACATCTGGATGGGAGTCATGATACCACATCACACGCAATCACACATACACACATCTGCAAACAGATCTCTGTTTATACTGCCAAGTCTTCATGTGGCATTCGCTTGTGTGGACACATTCAGTTCTGTGTGTATGTGAGTGAAAGCCGTGTTGTCATATTGCATTTTTTCACTGTAACCTAAGGCGTAAAAAAAAAAAAAAAAAACACTGTTTGAATGCAGACCACCCCTCAGGCACAAGAGAATAGAGCGTGCAGCTTTACTTAGAGGTTAAACCCATATCAGTAGATCCACTTCCACATAAAAAAAAAACAGCCCTCAAACTTCACCTCAACATGGACACTGTTGCACATTAACTTTTGATCAAGCAGAAAAAGGAACAAGCAATATCTGACTTTGCAGCTTGTTCAACAGAAATAACTCTTACCTGATAGTAGGCTTTAATCTGCCTGATGAGAATAGAAAGATTCTGGATGCGCAGCGTGGGGTCATTGTTCACTTTCTTGTTGGTCCTCTGCACAGTGGCCTTAGGATTTCTGTGGGGAGAAAATGACACACTGTTATTCAAATGCTGTTGAATATTGTTCAAGTTTCTGTTTGACACCACGTTGCTCTATGTGATGGAGCGGGTGCGCGTTTGTCAAGAAACATTAGCACCGCAGTGACAATGGATCCTTGTTCAAGTAGGGTCAGTGTCATAACCATGTTAAAAGAAACCACAGCCACAATGAAATGCTCCCCCTTGAAAATGCCATTTGTATTCCAAGACCAGTGTTTCAGACTGTGTTGTCTCCAGCCTTTAAATCAAATTCTTCAGTGGGTTGAATCCAATTCAAGCATCATTGTGAAGCATTCAAATTTTCAGGCTATATTGTCACAGACTACAAACTCCTGAGAAGGATTTCATTAGCATAGTAAACCTTCATCCATGGTCAAATAGAACGTGGTCTATTTCAGTAACTGACTAACTTCTGACCACAACCTCCTTTTATTTTATCTGTCTGAATCAAAAAGAAAAAGTATCATCTTAGTTCTTGCAGAAAAGACAGCCTGTGTGTTTATCTCACTGTGTGTTGCCCAAGGGACATTAAAAGGAGCATGCACGACGACTGATGTTATCACGGGTGTCAACATGTTTTAGTGAGCCTTATAGACATTCCACAAATTCACACAGTACCACCTCCATAGCCACTGTTATTAAGGACAGTCCGAATTAACATTTGCATATCTGTAGAAATGACCTTTAAAATACCAAACCTCATTTCATCTCAAACCTCTTTTTAAACCACATTTACAGACAAGATCATTGGTGTGATTAACTAATGAAAAACAAATGAGTTTCCTGTCTGTCTGTCTGTCTGGAATGCTTGACATATTAACAATCTGACAGGCACATGATCAGTACTAATCAGCATCCCATGCATTTATTAGCCAATTACTTTCCTATGTTTTAACTGTAAAGTTTGTCAGAGCTTCTTAACAGCTATCTTTGACACCATGTGTGGTATTAAAAGCTTGTTGAAATGGCGATAATGTGATATCTATTGGTCCCCTGAGGGAAATTCCTCTTTTCTAGACTTCCCACATAAAAGAGGTGGTGACAAAGCCGGAACCCTAGAGATGATACGGTTTCACCAAGTAGCAAAGGGACACTTTGAAAGAGTGGATACTTTGCTGGCTTCAAATATCTGTGTGAGGCAGTGGGCAGGGGCTTTCATACATAGGACTCCCATGATACCAGCAAAACAACAGTAAAAGCAGTGATTTCAAATGACACTAAGAAAGAGGAGCGTTCTCATTTCTTACCCAACTATTGCAGTTGAATTACCGTTTCATCTCCCAAGGTTTATTGCTTAACATTGGCTGCACAGGGGGAAGGCTTACAGTACTATACTTCAGTAACCACACTGGTAGTTATCTAACCTCCCAGCCGATCCGACCCCCACATTCGATTTAATTTCATCACATTTGTAGATATGATTCTACCAGCTGCAAAAGTTGAAAAATGATTAGACTATAAAAAAGGTTCTCTCCTCAGTTGAGAAATAAAAATAATTTACAGTATCTTAATTCCTGTTGGCATGATGGTAAGTAAACAGTATGAGCATCATTACATCCTAAAATACAATGTTGAATGCAAAAGCAAATGAAATGAAAACAAACATCAGTTCCATCTATTTTAATATATTTTACAGAATTGAAACAGTAGGTTTATTTAACTGTACAGCCAGTAGTAATAATTTGTTCAATCTCATTGGGGAGCATGTTTTGACAATCAATGTCATCCTTCGTCTAGAATGCATCAAGCCCAACAGGGAAAAGTAGTAAAATCACACCCACCCTGCCTAAACCAACTCTGTAAAACCATCCCTGTAATTAATTTATGATACATTTGCTTTGGGATTGTCTGGGAAAACAATACTTCTCATATACTTGAGATTTTTAGAGCCTTACATCAACAATGTTCAAGAGCAGCTCTCTTTTTCGTGATATGCTCTTCAGACTTCAAAGCATGAACATTGCATGACCTATATACGAGGGTCAACACGCCGAGAAGGGGGGAGGAGAGTCCTGGCTGCTTGGGAATGCATGCATGCATGTAGTGTGTAGCACATGTGTAGTCATGCATGAGTCTGCATCTGTGCTCTGGCACTCCAGAATAGCACAGTGACTATGCTGTAACTGTATAGGCGATCATCTCAATAAAGCTTTATCTTCAAGAACTTTTTTTTTTTTTTTTTTAAATGCGTATCAGTCTGGTCTGTTTGAGAGAGGAGGTCAAAGGTGAAGGATCCTCCTCAAGGACATTCAGCCTGGTGGATGCTTATAGTCACAGGGGACTTCTGGTTGAATGGATCTTCTTAAATCACTACACCATGCTGCTGCCACATCTATTTCACATAAAACCAAATGAACCTGCTTTATACCAAGAAATATAAATATCCAAACTATCAATTTGCTCAAATTCACATCCTGATGACAAAAATATGGAGATACATTTTTGTGTGCTATTTTGGAGTATGTAATTATTGCTTTAGTATCCCAACTCTAAAATAATATTTTAATAAAGCACAATTCTTTTGTTACACCAAGACGAAGGGCAGTATGCCTGCTTCTTAAGTCACTCGGCTGCAGTGGGGATGTGTTAATTAGTCTTTTGATCAGCCTCCGCCCTGATATACAGACCCACACACACACAATCATGCTAATCAGAAGGACACAGGGATCGTTTTAATACTGGTCTAAACGTCATGTGACCTCCCCATTTCCCCCCACCACACATACACCCAGCCCCTTTTGAGGTCCATAGTAGGGGGTCTATTTAACCCGTTAATTAAAAAGCACAGAGGAGGCTGTAATCCTGTCAGGACGAGGAGGGTGATATAATGAATGAGGGGTGTGTGAGAGACTGAAAGAGAGAAAAAAATACAAGAAAGGGTTTCCCATTCACGCATTCCATCACCATCAGAATCAGCCAAGAACATGGCGACCACAACAACACAACCATGACAGCAACACACAATCCACCCCTCGTTTTGTTGGCTCCGGCTCTCATGCCACACATGCAAGCACGCGACGAGATGACCCCCCCGTAGATCAGCAGGCGTATAAACACAGCGACTTAGAGCAGCAACAGGGGTCAAAAACCCCACTTATTGCCTCCTTCCCTGTTGCTACAGTAAAACCTAAGACTTTAAATAGACGAATGGATTAGGGATGGACAGGCAGAAAGCCACCTAAACAGCCAGCAAGACAGACAACAAGTGAACAAGTCAGCCAGACAGCCAGTCAATAAGCCGGTCCATCGGTGCTGTTGGTAGGCAGTGTAGCCTTATGTAGAGCCTGGGGCCACTGGGCTTTCTCCTCTCATCTCCTGGCTTTGATTGGCTGGGTAAGTTAGGGAGTAGTGTTAACCTATATATGACAGGCTACATTACAATCAGCATGGGCAGCCAGGCACATGCTCACGCTCACACACACACACACACACGCTCACACACACACACACACACACAAACAAAGTAGACTAAATGCACACACACAAAGAGAAAATGCAGGCTACATTTAGCCACGTGTTTGGCATAGAGCTTATGAGCTGTACTGTCCAAACACAGCGGGGGAGTGTGTGTTTCTGTCTGTGTGTGTTGGACACACACACACACACACACACACACACACACACACACACACACACACACACACACACACACACACACACACACACACACACACACAGAGACACACACAGAGACACACACAGAGACACACACAGAGACACACACAGAGACACACACACACAGCTACAGTAAGAGGAATCTGAAGAATGAGCACTTATTAGGAGCCATGCTAAGGTTAACAGTTCAGTTCAGGATAATTCTGTGGCTCTGTGTCTGTAATGCCGGATTCAGACATTTCTATCTGGTAAGATGGTCACGGTGTTGCTGGGAGTTGGCCGAGAGACAAGACAGACGACACAGTGCCAACCAATCGTAGCTTGTTGTCTTTCACAATGCACGTGATGTCATGGGGTCTAAGGGCCCACTTCTGGGAACCACCAAAGGCGTCTGAAGTCTGAATTTCTGTCAGAAAGTCAGATTTGGCGTTGGTTATTGTCCACTATGATACACTACACTAGATAAAATGATCAATTTTCACTCCTGATACCCTTGATCTGTCAGGTCAGGCAAATATCAGCCTGCTATTGTGTAGTCTGCACACAGCATAACATTCACATTACAAACTAAAACAGACTCACACCAACATGAGCTATCCAACGAGAACACATCACTCTGTGACGTTTATGGCACATGCACAGACTCAAGGGCCAGACAGTGGTACATACATGGCAAGAGTAATTCAAGAGAGTAATGAGTAATATAGTTCTGTAAGTCAAATCAGGGGTACTCCGCATACAGCCTTAATACAATCAAGTTCACTTGTTTAAAATGTTTCCAGTCTGCCATAATCTTGTTATACTGGAGAGAATGTTAACACAACACACTGACCAACTTTCCAAAAGCCAACTTGTAAGTACAGTAGGCAAAAACAGGCAAGCTAACCAGAATATTTACAAATGCAATTACTCTCAAACTAGTGAAAGAATGAAGCAATGACCTTCATATTGTCATTGTTTTGCAATCATGCAACCTCAAGCTCAAAATAACTGCACCTTATTTTCTCACTCCACACCCTTTTCCCATGGGAACTGTAGAATAAAAACAACAGTGAGGGTCTGACCATTGGTATGTGGTTCTCATCACCCTATTTCCTTGTCTTGGCTTTTCATGGACTTTGTTTCTTGTTTCTCTCCCGTCTTTGTCCGTTTCCACAGGGCCTCTTCCCATTCCTCTACTCTGTCATTGTATCCATAGGGACTGCAAATAAACTCATTCCTGTCAAGCTGAATGTGACTTGATGCATTGCCTTGTATCACACTGCAAGCACTCAATTTAATGTTTCAAATAACAGGCAAAACTGCTTGTATTATACTGGCACACAAAGTGAAACCAGCATGATGTACCATTCCTTCAGTATG